TATGTATTTTTTTTTTTAAACCAGGGATTGAACTCAGGACCCTGCCATTTGAACAGCATGGCTGAGATTTAGAAGTCATTTGTTACTGCAATGCAACATAACATCATGTATACAGATTAAACCAACAGGCGATATTTTGAAAATTCAAAGTTAAGTATTAAGATAAAAATTCAAATTTGCAATAAAGGTACTATAGTAAAAGTACTATGTACTTATTATAGAATGTTTGGAAAAATGAAAATCATCAACAATCTTACCACTCAAAGATAATAACTAGTATTACTTTCTGTTGAGGTTTTTTTTTTTGGGGGGGTGCTAGGGAGTATGGGGAATCAAACTCTGGTCATTGCACTTGCAAGGCAGGTGGTGCAACCACTGAGCTAAATCCCCGGCCTAACAGATCTTTCTTATAATAAACATTTCCTTCCAGTATTCTTGTAGCTTTTATATTACAATAAGTATGTTTCCACGACATTGTCTGAAAATAATTTTAATGGTGGAAAAATAATATCAATGGAATCTAATTCAACCATTTCTCTGAAGTTTCCAATTCTAAAATATTTATAATACACATGAACAATATACCAATATACTTTACATAAAATTTTGTATCTATGTAGATTTTTCTTTTCTCAGAAGAGCAATGTCTCAATGGTCATAATTTTGAGAAGATTTTGATATATTCAAATGGATATTAGTGGTTCAGAGCTCAGAAAAAAAAGATCTTAGCAGGAACTTTCAAAACTTTTAAGACATGAATAAAAGTTGATTATTTCTGTTCAAAATATATCAAAATAGTAATGGAATGGTTATTAACATTTTGAAATTGTATTCTTTACTACTGTGATATAAGGAGGAAAAATGCAGTGTATTCTTGTTACAGATCATTTAAGATAATCTGACACAAAGTATCTTGAAATAAATCAGTAACTAAGTTGTTAAAATTAAATTACAAGGAAATTATAATCAATCAGTTCAACTTTTCCTGCTGTTAGTTTTCTTATGACTTAATGACTAATTTCTTCCTTTAAGGATGACTTTAAACAAATGAGAAGTAAAACCTTTTCCATAATAGCATGTAAACAAATTCTATGATTTAATAACAAGGTCAAATTCCTGGAATATATGTCTGCCAGTTCTTTTTAATTCAGCAGTTTCAGTAAGTGATCATTAGGATTTTGCATATTGTTTAAATCTATTAAATCCCACAAAATTACACAGCGGCAACCCTACCACCATACAAGTAGATAATATTAGAAAATGTAATTTGTAACTCAGTCATGCAGAACTTGGGAATATTCTATCATAGAAGTAATAATGAAAATAATTTTAAAAATGAACAAAGGTATTCAAGAAAGTCTGCCTTCACAAGTAACTTCACATGGCAATAAATATTTAAGATCTGTAATACTCTTCTGAAATGACAAGGCATTATTTTAAATATAGACTTTTCTTGTTTTAAGAAAATATATTAAGGGGCCGGGGATTTAGCTCAGTGGTTCAGCCACCTGTCTCGCAAGCACGAGGTCCCAAGTTTAATCCCTGGTAACTCACCCCGCTAAAAAAAGAAAGAAAATAGGAAGAAGCAGTGAGGAAAGGGAATGATGATAATGTAAACTTTGTAGCAAATTTTTAAAGAAATCCAGATCATCTAGATTATTCCATGAAAGACTTCTCTGAATTCTAAAATGGTATGGAAATCTACTTGTTCATTATAGTTATAATGTTAGCTTTAGATAGGCTTCACTAATGATGATTATTACATCACTAATCATCACTAATGATGATTGCATTTATAAGTATTATATTTTACAGGTTTCTACCATCCCTTGACAATTTATCAATTTATTCAATCCAAGGTGTCTATACAGTTAGGTCTCAGGGAATGGAAAATGTGGCTAATATACATATCAAGTTATTCAGTTTATTCTGTAACACTGCCAGCTATGGGGACCTCCTTATAAGCCTCATGTGAATGAAATGGGGCTTTTTCAGAAGTGGCTGGATCTAGAGTGTGTGATGCTGGAAGTGATTCATGGTGTAATGCTAGGTTCAAGGGCACTAGGATTAAGGGTATGAGTGCTACCTGCCCTAAGTAGTCTAGATAAGATAATGGGGCTGGAAGATGCTGTTAAGGACCCCTGTTGCTTTGCTACCTTTGTTCTACCATGAACTGTTGCCCCTCTGCCATGTGCCACCCTGCTGGGAGCCAGCCGATTACGGGCTGAAGCGTCTACAAACTGTGAGCTAAATGAACCTTTCCTCTTTTAACTTTGGGTTAACCCTCCATTAATACATATGGTACTGATATATAATCCTCACTTATAATATTATTTTGGGGGGATCAAACTGAAATATGTTGAAATAAAAAATGTACTACTTACATTGCCTTAAAATTAAAATTGCTGCTATACTCTTAAAAAAATTAGCAAAGAATACTAGGTAGAATTCAAAGTAAGTTTAGAGCATTCTGAGGAAGTACAAAAATATTCTTGAGATTTCCTTTATAGAAATTGCAGGCACTTTTAAGAGTTCTAGAGGGAAAAAAACCTTTTCGTATTCTGAACAGACATTATTCCTAAACTTAGTCTTTGTTATGATTTTGTTTTGTTTTGTTTTGGTTCTGGGGATCAAACTTGGGATATTGTGCTTGCAAGGCAGGTGGCAGCATCACTGAGCTAAATCCCTGGCCCATGATGGTTATGTTTTGACCCATGTGAAACCAAAAGGAGAAGGTCAACAGTTTCAGAAAATGAACAAACATAGTAAAAAGGCTGAGAAAGATGTAATAAACCTGACCATGTAAACTGACAAGCAGAGGATTAGGGAAGACATAATTGTACAAAAATATTTACAAACATTACTAAATAGACAATTGCACAATCTAAAAGGCAGAAAAAGCCTTAATTTTTTACAGTTTATTTTTAAATCCTTCTATAGGCAAAAACCTGCAAATCTAAGTGTTATATACAATGAAACCACTATTTTGTACCAATCTCAGGACCTTGTGCTTGTGAGGCAGGCAGTGGCACCAATGAGCTAAATCCCAGGCCCTTATTACCTTCTTTATTCTGGACATTATATTTTCTTTAATGTAGTCTAAGACTTTCATGACTATATATGTGACACTGTTAGTTAAACTGAATTAATAATCCATTAAAATCCTCAGTGAGTCTTCAAGTGTGTTAAGTTACATCTCACCCCAACGTAGCTAACTTTTAAACATTCATTTTTTAGGTCTCCCTATAGCCACTGGTGGGCACATATAGATGGTAAGCTCTTGAAATATACAATTTCCTTCGACCATAATGGAATCAAACTACAAACCAATGCCAGAAGAACAACAGGAAAATCTGTAAACCTATGAAAATTAAATGACATACTTCTAAATGAATCAAAGACGAAGTTTCAAAAGAAATAAAAATACACATAGAAGTAAAGTGACCAAACAATGTATCAAAACTTGTGTGATGCAATTAAAGCAGTATTGAGGGGAAATGGTAAAGGCTAACTGCCTCAAGAATCTAGAAAAAAGTAAAATCTAAAGAAATCAGAAGGAAGGAAACAATAAGTATAACAACATAAATAAAATTAAAAATAATAGGGAAATGGGCCAGGGATTTAGCTCAGTGGTGCCACCACCTGCCTTGCAAGCTCAAGGTCCTGAGTTTGATCCCCAGTACCAAATAGGGGGGCGCATTACTGAAACAAAAATTAGGTTCTTTGAAAAAAATCAATAAGCCTCTAGGAAGACTAACATATAAAAAAGAAAACAAATCAGCAGCACTGGGAATAAACTGGGATATGACAACAGATCCCAGGAAAAATTAACACTAATGCAATACAATGTTGCACTAATTAGCACTAATTCTACACCCTCTGCCTCTCACTGTACAGTCAGAAGGGGAAGGAACACTTTCAACTCATTTTTTTAAGGCCAGTATTACCCGGATACCCAAACTGAGTAAAACACAAAACATAAACCTATAAAGCAGTTTCATGAACTTAGATGCAAAATACTGACAAATGAAGCCTAACAATGCTTAAAAAGAATAACAAACCATAACTACATGGGATTAATCCCAGGTAGACAAAGCCGGTTCAATAGTTAAAAATACCAAATGTAGCCCACCATATTTATAGGCCACAGGGAAAAAAAAAATGAGAAGATTAAACAACCATGCATAATAAACACTTGAAGAAAAACAGAAGAGCTTAACTTTCTCAATCTCACAAAGAGACTCTAAAAACCTCTACTGCTAACACCATTATCAAGACTAAAAACACTGATGGTTCTCTTCTGAGACTGGGAACAAGTCAACAATGTTCATTATTTACCACTCTTATTCAACATGATACTAGAGGTGTTACCCACTGCAGTAAGACAAGAAAAATACAGAAAAGGCATAACAAGATTGGAAAGAAAGAAATTAACCTCTCTGCAGAGTACATGATTATATAGACAATCTTAACCTAGAAAAAAACTTTTTGAATTAATAAATGAATTGAGTAAGGTTGAAGGATATTTGATTAGAGCACACACACAAACTATGCATAGAAACAAAAAGTCAATGTCACTGTCAACTGCTCGAAAAATAATTACTTAGGTATAAATCTTAACAAAATACACACAGAATTTGTGTAATAAAAGCTCAAAAATGAACTATACATGAAAAAGAAGAAGTTAATATCACTGACAATTGCTCCAAGATAATGAAATACGTAGGTATAAATCTAAGAAAATATGTAGAGAATCTATGTAATAAAAATTACAAAATACTGATGAAAGAAAAATCACAAACTTGTAGAGATATCTGTGTTTATGAATTAAGATATTTAAAAGTTAAGATGTTAATTCTGCATAAATTAATCAATGATTAGTATAATTATTATCAAAAGCTTAGAGAGATTTTCTGTAGACAGAATAACTTGATCTAAAATGCATATGAATAGAAAATGATTCTAGGATACATAAGACAATTTTGAAAAAGAATAAAATAAGAATCATTCTTCTTGCTGTTAAGGTTTAATATATATTATAATCTTGATTATTTAATCAAGACAATATGATACAGGTTTTATTTCCCTAGCAGGAAAATCTGAACTTTGAATTAAATTTCACCACATTCTGGAATTTTGATTGTCAGATTAGGGATATGTATTAGGTAAATTCTTTGTAAATATTCTAAAACTTAAAAACTCCAAAATACGTAACACTCCCAATCTTAAGCATTTTAGATAAAGGACAGGCAATTAATACTGGAGAAATAGAAATAAACTCTGTGGATTATACAAAAGTCACTTTACTAGTTTTGATATTATACTAGAGTTATACAAGGTATTAACACTGGATGAAACTCGGGGAAGGGTACATGGATCTCTTTGCATCTCTCTCTGAAAAATCATGTGCATCTACAATTATTTCAAAATAAAAAGTTAAACATACTGCTCTATGTTAACAAAATCAAATATCATGATTTTCAAAATAGATTTTAAGTTATTAAAAATCATTTCCTGACAAATTTATGGTACTGAAGTCTATATATCAATAACACGATTTATCACATAGGAAGGCCAAAAACAGAGCTGAAATTATGTAAGAAATGCTTTTTTTTTTGGTACCAGGTATTAACTCAGGTTCTTGTGTTTGCAAGGCAGGTGGCAGAACCACTGAGCTAAATCCCTGGCCCAAGAAATGCTTTCTTATTGGTCTAAATGTTTTTACTACTTCAAATTTTCAATTTGACATTTCAAGTGATTTAAAAAGAGTAAGAACTATACTAAGAAAAGCATGGGACTTTTATAGTCTAATATAGCAACATGCAGTTAAAAACATAAAGCACAAATGTTTCTATGCGAGTTGCAAAAATGCACTGCATTAATTCTTAGGAAACTGATTTTTTAAAAACTGACTTTGTAAAATAAAGTCATTTTGAACACAGTATATGATTATGAAATCTGTTTCTTTAGGAAAACGATGGTATCAAATAAAATGTAACTTGGACATTTCAAAATTTAGTTGGTTCTGAACAATGTTAATATAAACTGATAAGTTAACTTTACCTGATTTCCAACTTTGCCACTTCAGGTAATTCTCCATAATTTATCTCTCCTACCTCCAGTTCTTTAAGAGCAGCTATAATTTTTTGCTGATCTTTACTGGTAATTCCATTCTATGCAGAGACAATTTTAAGGTATAGTAAGATACTTACATCAAATAATTTAATTTTCTTAATGTTTTCTACTTGCAAAATAGACTAGAAAATAACACATATACTTAAAATATATGGTTTGCTTATAACTATAAGTGACAAATTTACATCATTAAAATATTTGACATATAGTTAATATAGTCTTTTTTTGCACTAGATAACAGCAATAGTGATGGACTATAATCAAATCACAGTTTTCATACATAAGTTATATATAATATATAAACAATACAATATGATAATTATATATTCTATTATAGTAATATATAATACATAAAACTGCTTCCTTCAAAATATTTAAAATCTTATCAGGGATAATTAACAATACCTCACCTATCATTTGTATTAAACTTTGATGTTAAATTTAATTTCATATCTTAGTTCTAATCAATGTGCTTATTTTGAATTTTAGTAATAGAAAACATTTCAAATTTTCAAGGTATTCATACAGCAACATCGCTGCTTTTTAGATACCTTATTTCTCGAAGTATCTCTAGTACTTCCTACAGCTTTTTTTCAGTTGTTATTTAATAAAACTAGGTCTTTACAATCTTGAATACCAACCAAAAGCCATATTATTTGGAAGACACATATTTACACTTATGTACATAATAAAATGTCCCTAATTCCTAAATAGCCTGTTTTAGAAATCTACTTCACATGTGGAAATGAAGTATGAGATTTACTTAAGATATCATGGCAATCTAAAGGAAAAAAAATCCTAAACTCTAAAAGTCTTTAAATTTATTTAAAGTAACTTAACATTATAATTGGATTTTAGATATAGTTAACCATTTTCATATCTAATGATGAACCTAGCAAAATATTGTCACACTCTATAGCACTATGATTTTTAAAATAGAAAATAAAAGGATCTACAATTTTAAAATATCATATAATACAAGTACAGTTTTTGAAAGTGATACTAACCTCTGTAAACTCATCCTTTTTCATGGTCAAAAGGTGTCTTAAAGTTATATCCTTTTCCTGTTGAAATGGAAAAACCCACCACCTTTCAATATAAATAGTACAAGGGGAAGTGGGTAAGTACATGTAAGTTAGTTATATGCTCCACTATTAAATTTCAACTTTTTAGAGTGGACAGAATATAGTATGCAGATATAGGTCTGCACTACTGAGTAGGCAGTACATACTCATCTAAAAAATAAAAACAAAACTAATTTTCAAGATTCAAAGAAAGCAATTAAAGTGAAAATTCTGTGAGATTTGATGGAAATTATATTTATCAATATTAAATTTCTGACTATATGATATGAACCCATCAAAACAAGAACTTCTACTCAAGATTTTTCCAAACAGAAAGAAATTTCAAGACTCTACAGTGAAATCTAGCTCTGAAACACCTGAACAGAATGTGCACATTCCCACTGAAATGGTTAGAATCCTCATCTAGATAATAAGTACTGTCACCACTCAAATCCCACAATATATGTGGTTTGATCAAAATATATGGGAATGTTTAAATTTAAAAATAATTTATTACAGTAAAAGAGACACTGTCATTTTTCTCCTTAAAACACTCCCCCTTGCTGCAAACATACTTATTCTATCATCCTTGCCATTTTCTGAAGCAGTTCTGGAAGTCTCTTTTGTCAGTGTCTTTGGCTGCACTGTTGTCCTGAGTTGCCTTGATGTCCTAAGTTGAAAACATTTATTCATGTTCATTTTGACTTTTGGGATGAGTGAGAAGCCACATAGTCCTTACCTGGTGAATAAGGTGGATGAAGACACACTGTAATATTTTAATTTCACAGAAATTGCTGTAAATGTGGACTGTAAACTGCTTCAGTCACAAGGATAATGAAGCAAGTAAGAGTATTTTGAGAGGGATTAATGACAATGTGTCTTTTAGTATAAAAATTTATTTTAAAATTTCACTGTAGTTTGCAATCATATTACATATATTTTGGGGGGGGCAGGTACCGGGGATCGAACTCAGGTCTTTGCACTTGCAAGGTGGGCTAAATCCTCAGCACCACTGAGCTAAATCCTCAGCCCCATATTGCATATACTTAAAGCATCTAGGCAGTCCTTGGAACATGATTAATGTAAAACGACAACCCTACACTAGCTATTATTATCCTTATTAAAAAAAGATATTTAAGTAACATATTTCAGTTAATAATCTCAGTGAGAATCTGATACCAGATTTGTCTGGTTTAAAATCAAGCTTCTAATATTGCATATGAGATTTGCAATTGCAGCTGGGTATTGTGGTACATTCCTGTAATACCAGGCTTTGCAGGCTGAGGCAGAAGGATCCAGTGAGTTCCATGCCAGCCTGAGCTACGTAATGAACTTAAGGTCAGCCTGAAGTACAGAGGGAGACCCTGTCGCAAGGAGAGAAAAAATAAAGGGGGACTTTCAACTTAAAAAGTGAAGCAAAAACAATGAGTTTAAGTGTAAAGGCACTGGACAGCGGATTCAAAGCTGTTAAAGCCACCCAGATTCTAACATATTAATTTCTGGAAAAAAAATTGATTATTATGAGTTTAAAACAAGATGTAGTCCAAATTCTGAAGAAAAGGAATGGCACTCATTCATAAGTATGCTTAATGAATTTACACTTAATGTTACGTTAGCCAATAAATACACGTGTGTGCATACATATATATGATAAACTTTATATGAAATCTTACCTTTAGTAAGTCTGTCATATGTTCCAGACCAAGACCATGCAAAAATATTTCCAGGTCTCCAAATGCTGTATATGAACTAAACATATTTACAGCAACGTCAATTTCAGAATAGATTATAGTATATATTTATATTCAGGGAGAGAACAGGAATGAGTAACAAGGAATCTATGTAGAACATATTTGTAAATTTACACAACAGATTTAACACTATATCAAAGAATAAGCACGCTTTTTTATTTCTTTAAAAATTGTTTTGGTATGCTGGGGATGAACTCAGGGCTAAGCAAGCACTCTACCACTGAGCTATAAGCCTAGCCCAAAGCAAGTTTTCTTTAGCAAAGATGTAGAAAAAAAATAAAATATAGCTCATAAACTATTGCACTAAACTAAATCCCGAGCCATTTTCTATTTTTATGTCTTGAAACAAAGTCTCACTAAATTGCTAAATTGCTCATGTTGGGTTTGAATTTATAATCCCCTTGTTCAGTCTCCCAGTGAGAAAGGATTATAGGCATGAGCCACCATGCCCAGGTTTGAATCTTTTAAAAATAAATTTTACTGATTTAACTAAAAGTTTACATTTAAAGTTATGATTGGTGTTCCTACACATAAATATTTTCTAAAACTCTGAACAACAAAACATCTAAACCCTAGACATTAGTGATTTTAAAATGCTTGTAAAAGTTTTTAATATATATATTTGAAGTAGTTACCCCAGTTATATTTAGTACATGCATTTAAAACACTTATTCATAGGGATTCTGTTGAACCAAACCATGTTCTGTTACCCAAATATGTGATCTTTTTCTTTATCAGAATCTGCTGTCAATAGTTTACAAATACTCTCTTCTTTAGTTAGCTGTTGTAACTTTCCTTCCAATGGATTCAAAGTCAAAGAAAGAAAGCTGAAGATCTGAAAAAAGTTCAAAGGCACTGAAATGTACTTAACATGATTTAGTTTATCACACATACACTTTAAAAAAACTAACCATGATTTTTTATCTAGAAAGAAAATTTTACCAAGGTGAGAGGGACAGAACTTTCACAACATTATCCTGAGAATAACTTTTATAAAATCAAGTAAATGCTGCCTTGACCTAAAATAATCAGGAAAAAGTACATCTAATTCAAATTAGTAAGCTTAAAGGAAGATAGAAATTAATCTTTTTAGTAAGATATAATAAAACAAAACTAATGTGTCATTTTGACAAATGACTCAGAAAAATTAAGCACTGTGGTAGTACTTTAAATACATTGCTAAGTGGAGAGAAAATAATAAGCATGACAAAATGTATACAAATTCCAACTATGCACATCGAAATGTGGTGAAATTCTTTAGTTTTACAATCTAACTTCTTAGGAAGTCAAGACTATGTCATGTAATCAGCCAATAAGATCAAATCTTATTTTAAAGATTGATGGATGACTCAAAATAAATTTTGATATTCATACATTTATCATATCAAATTCAGTATCATCTATCCAAATTTAACAATACAAGAAACCAATTTTGTTTTTAAAATTTCAAACCTTAGAAGAAAACTGTAGAGTTCTTTTTTGAAGTTTTATAGGACTTCAGAGATTAGCATCTACTCTAAAATAATTTTTAAATGTAGATTTTATTTGTAAAATGATAGGCATGTTTATTAGATTGTTCAAAAATTATAGACAGTTATTTTACATGCAGTAAAAGTGACATGCTCTGATGTTTATATGATGGAACTTTTGGAATTTCACATACTTTAAAATTCAGAAACTTGGTGTTATGAACTCTTGAACTAAATAACTTAATTTTACAATTGTACCATACTTGATCTCTGCTTAGAAATTATAGACCTCTGGCTAAAGCTTTAGTGTTCAAGCCAAAATTTATGTTGCTAAAGTAATTTAATATGTAAATAATTATTATTGAGTTTAAAATAAAATGATAGTAGATCATACATCCAACTGTGTTATTGCTCTACCACATACCTTGTAACAAGTATAGGAATAAATGTTTAAAGAATTTAATTTTTAAATTTTCTAATATTCATGAGTATGTTTTATTTATATACTCTTATCTGACATTTTACTAATCTTACCAATCTCAATATAAAAGCTAATTCTTAAAAATATGAACCAGTTTGAAATGTTTAAATAGCCTTGGTACAATTTTATTTCTAGGAAAATATTTTATTATCCTTTTACATAACTTAAATTATCATATTACAATGCATCTAAGTTGGAAGAGGAATGCTCTAGCAACATAAAGTTTTCATTAATCAGAGAAAGATATATTTAAACATTTAATAGCCAAAAATATTCTTACTACACTTCTGAATTCTAACAAAGTAATGTACAAGTTCTATACAGGATTATGTGATATGTGACAGAAAAAGTAATTTAATATATAGATCGATACCTCAAGATGTTTATTTCTTTTTGCAATCTCACTTGGTGTTTTTCCATCTTTGGTTTGTAGCATTTTATTAGCTCCAAGTTCAAGTAATTTCAAAACTACATTTTTATGACCCTGACGTGCTGCCCAAGTTAAAGCCTGTAAGTAGGGGAAAAAGTTTAAAGAGAAGGAGTGTATATCAAGTGGCTAGGAAACAGATTCAACAGCATTTATGGCAAAAATAAAAGAGAAAACATAGTTAATTAATGGAATGACAATTTCTTCATTTCACAATATAATGTAGACATATTCCCAAAGGTATATTTGGAAAACAGACTGTAATGTTCACTGATTTTATAAAACCAAACCAAGTTTTATATAGCTAAGTGATGCCACAGAGCAAAATGGTTATCTGCCAATCATGAAAATGTTTTCTACAAAAATGAAACCTTCTGTGTATTTGAGAGCCAATGCTCTTTGGTATTTCGGCTTCTTTTTGTCAGGAAAGAGGACAAAATCAAATAATCCCCCTTTTTTTTCAGCTTTTTTTTTTTTTTTTTAACCAACAGTGATTATATCCCAGGCTTTCTGTAAGTATTACGTCATAAAACTCTTTATAATAAAAGCCAACCAACAAAAACCCACTTATTTTATAAACTACTAATAAAAATATCAAAGTTTAAAAGTAAAATGGAGCATTACAAAAGTACTTCTTACAGTATAACCATTCTCATCCTGGGCATTAACTTCTGCTCCATGAACAACTAGGAGAGCAACTACCTGAGGGTGACCGTTCCGTGCAGCATACATGATTGGAGTCATAAGTCTTCTAAGGAAGAGAAAGAAAAGAAACATTTGCATTAACGTCACCATTAACAACTACTCAAATTTATGAATTTAACCATACTCAATACCATCAGTACTTCTTTGAAAGTAAATCAAAACAAAAGCTTTTAGTAATTCAAGTGTTTTAAAAATCTAATCTTCCAGCAAAAAGTAAAATGTAAAAGCTAACTTAAAAGTACTGAATGCTTACACAGCACCCTCTAGTGAAGAAACAAAAAAATCACTAAGCCATGTTTTTTAATATATTTCATTAATTTACACATTCACTTACAAAATTATCAGAGTAAACACACGATGTTTTTGCTGGAAATATAGTGATGAACAAGACAAGGTCCTTGCCTCACTGGATTTGTTCATTTTAAATGCTTCTTACACTGACACAATGAAATTTTAAATTAAAACACTCATTTCTTAATTTCTTATGACTCTATTTTAGTTTAAGACTGAAAGAATTTTTTTCTGACTTGGATGCTTAATCAAAAAAGAGATCAACACAGTAATATAACCTGCCTAAAACTTTCAAGAGGGCGGAGAGGGACAGTGGTTCCTCTATAGTTTATCATTTCCCAAAATAAGAGATTCAATCTCTCTACTCCTGGAAGTTAGTGTCTGGGCCTATTCTTTTTTTAAATATAGGAATATAAATTTATTTTAAAATTTTGCATTGGTACATATTTGCAGTATTTAATAACTGTATTTTTCAGAGTTGGTACATGTACATAATACATGTCAAAATCTTTTTTCACTCTCTTCTTCTCCCTTCTTCCCCCCATCTCTTAGTCCCTCTCACTTTGGCAAAAAATCTATTTCCCTATTTCCTATTATCTTTTATTTTGTTCTTTATTTATATTTTGGCTTTCTCATAAAAGAGATATACAATATTTAAGTTAGCGTGCCTGACATTTCAATTAATATCATGGTCTCAAGGTGCCCGCATTTTCCTACAAATGACTCATGTTTACCCTTCTTTATGGCAGAACAGCACTGCACTGTGTATAAATGCTACTTTCTTGTGCATTAATCTGCTGGTGGACATGCAGGCTCCTTCCAAGATTTAGCTAGTATGAAATGTCCAGCTAAATATGGTTGTGCGTGTATCACTGTAATATGAAGTCTTTAGTTCTTTCAGGAAGAAAACTAGAAGGGAAATAGTTGAGTTCAATGGAATTTCAACTTTGTTTTTTGAGGAATCTCCATATTGAATTCTATACTGGTTGCATTAGTCTACATTCCCACCAATAATGTGGAAGGAGGGTTCCTTTTTCTCTGCAGCTTCAGAAACATTTCTTATTTGATTTCTTGATGATAGCCATTCTTTCTGGAGTAAGGCTGAATCTCACTGTTTTTTAATCTGGATTTCTCTAATAGCCAGAGACCATTTTTTTCATGTATGTATTGACCATTTGTATTTCTTCTGAGAAGTGTCAATACATTTCAGGCCAATTTTTATAGTTTTTTTTTTTTGGAGGGGAGGGAGAGGTTCACTTTTTTTTTTGCTTTCTTTGTATATTCTAGATATTAGTTCTGTCTGAGGAAATTTTTCCCCATTCTGTAGGTTGACAATGAATTCTGCTGGTTGTTTCCTTTGCTGTGCAGAAGCTTTTAACTTTTGGGTCCTATTCTAAAGGACACTAGAAAGATTTTTATCAGTTCTATTTTGGGCTTATTTAACACATTGTCTATTTTAATGGGGATCTATCTCCCTATTTCCTATTATCTATTTTTATTTTGGGTTTCTCATTGTAAGAGAAACAGTGCAAGATTTAAACTTGTGTCTGATTTATTTCATTTAAAATTATTTTCTCAAAATGCATCCATTTTCCTAAAAAGAATTCAGGTTTATCCTTCTTTATGGCAGGGCAGTACTCTGTTATGTATAAGTGCATTTTTCTTTATTCATCTGTTGATGGACATAAAAACTGCTTTCAAGATTTAGCTACTATGAACTGTGCTGTTATAAACATGGGTATGCATGGAACACTCTGTCTTTAACTCTTGTGGAAAATATTTAGAAGAAGAATGGTTGTTCTGGTTTTATTTGAAGAATCTCCTCACTGAGATAAATTGGCTAAATATACAAGTACAGATTCAAAGCTTCTCACACCGTTTATTCGCTTCCCTATATAGCTGTCATGTATTACTAGATCTAAAGTTAGATGGCTACTTGTGTATAGGAATTGTCTTGATAGGTAAATTGTCTCTTTGGTAAATAACATTTAGGATTTTTTTCTTTTGGTACCAGGGATTGAACTCAGGACCTTGTGTTTGTGAGGCAGGTGGCAGCACCATGGAGCTAAATCCCTGGCCCAACGTTGAAGACTTTTGCTTTATTCTTAGTACTATTCTGCAGTTCTTTATAATGTGTCTATATATTTAAATTTTATGTAAAAGGTGCATATTTTATATGTTTACCCATTTGTATATAAATTTTGCCATGCACCTAGCAGATCTCTTCATCCTAAAAATTGGTGTCTTCAATTTGGGAATATTCCTTACCATCATTCAAATATAGTACACCTTCCAGTTTCTCCTTCCGGAACCATTACTAGACAGATGTTAGAACTTCAGGTAAGGTACTCCTTATCACTTAGCCTTTCATTTATCCTTTCCATTTGTTACCCTTCATGTTACATACTAGATGATTTATTCACATGTAGCTTACAGTTCACTATCTGTTCTACAGCTGAGCATCATCTGTTATTTTGCACATATACTTATTTTAATATTCATCATTCTCTTTTAAATAATTCATTGTTCTTGTTTTGTAAATCCTATTTGTTATTTTGTGGAAGCAAATCCTTCTTTTCTTCCTCAGAAGAATAAAGTCCTTTTTATGAATCTTCTATTTTTTTCTGCTTTTTCCAGGATACATCACTCTTTTGTTGACTGTTGTCTCTGTCTCATTTCATGATGCTTACATTCTCCCGATTTTAGTTATTTGTGGCTGTGCACTTACCTTCTGAGGCCTTCCAAGAATGGAAGAATCAAGTCAGCAGCCGCAACCTTGCCTATAAGTAACATTTTTAGGTGTTGCGGGGTGCCCATCTCTCCTTTCCTCCCACCCTCCCTACTTCACTCCGTTTCTTCCACACTGTGTGTACGTTACTGGGGACCGAAGCCACTGCTTTCACTTGAATTGCATCTCCTGACCTATCTTTCTATTTTTCAGACAGTCTTGCTAAGCCCCTGAGTGATGCAGGCTAGGCTAGAACTTGCAAAACTCCTCCCTCAGCCTCTAAGAGTGCTGTGACTGCAGGCCTGCACCATAGATTTGGCTCCATCTGTTTATTTCTTTAGAAGTACTCCTTTTAAGGGCCAGGGATTTAACTCAGTGGTGCCGCTGCCTGCCTTGCAAGCACAAGGACCTGAGATCAATCCCCGGTACAAAAAAAAAAAAAAAAAAAAGTTACTCCTCTTATATTCCAGAAGTAGTTCCCTTTCTTATTGTAAATAGAACTTTATTAAAATATGTTAACAACTGAATATCTAAATTCACAAGAGGAAGTGGGCAAAATTCTAGACTATTCTCAACTTAATATCATGAAGTCTTAAACTATTTTCCAAAAATTCCTTAACATTTTTCATATTTTTCCCAAATTTTTAGAATCATTTGTCAAGTTGTAAAAAAATGCGCTTATTCTCTAAATAGTGTTTAATTTTATAAATAACTTACACTTTTAAAAAAAATCTAAATGCTTAGTCAACAAATGACATGTCTGTTCAATCTTCTATTTCATGCAATGTAGTTTTATTATTATTTTTTCATTTAGGTCCTTATATTTCATGCACATTTGTCTCTATTTATTATTTGCTCTTTAGAATGGGATCCATAATCTCATTATATTCTTAAATTGGTCATTATATGCAAATTTGAAATCAACCAAAATTGGCACATTAGCACTGAAAAATTACCTTTTTATTTCTAATAGTTTCTGAGTTACCAATTATATAATCAATCTAATCTTAAAAATTACAATATCCCCACTTTCCTAATGAAAAACCAGCTGAATCATAGGCAACAGAGATCATGGGTCATCATGACTCATGTTCCTGTATAGGACAGAGAGTAAATCTTTTAACTTTGTGGTATAAGAGCATGCCATAACAGCTAAACTGTTTCTGTAACATGAGAGTCCCCACAGATAGTACAGATAGTGTTCCAATAAAACTTTAGAGTCTACCAACTTCTGCTTAAGAGTATAAGCTGAAGAGTCAGTCTGCCTAGCTTCAGATCTAGCCTTCAGCATTTATCATCTGTATAACATTGGGGAAGTTTCTTAAACACTGCCTCAGATTTTACATATGCGCCTAAAAACAATTTCTACACTTGTGGCACCTACTTGTGATCTTATACTCTGTGATAACGAGACAATAATATTTGGTAATAAGAGAACCAGACAAAAAATAACTGTTCTGTCATTATTAGTTGTTTTATTAACTATGTTTCATTTTATTTTCCTGATTGAATTGCTTATAGTTCCCAAAATAAAGGTAAAACAGAGATTGCTCATAGGTGTATCTTATGCCTGAGGTCAATATAAATGCTCCTAGTGTTTTTCCACTAAGCATATGAATTGTTTTGGCTTCAGATATATGTTTACAAAACCAAAGAACTATTCATCTAGTCAAATTTTACAAAGATTATATTTTAAGTTTTATAAAATGAATTTATATCATATATTATGATAATCCTCCTTTTAAAAAGTCCCTTGACCTATATAAAATTGTTTGAACCATTTTTCCATAGTTGACATGAATTCCATTTGGTTACATTATTCAGTTAATTTGCAGGTAACATTAAATTTGCTGAGACTTCATTAAGAACTTAGGATTCTTGTATCTATGTTCATAACTGAGATGATGTCTGCAGTTATTTGGGGTGGATACTTTTTTAAAATTCAATTTCAGAATCAATATTACATTTGCTTTCCAAAAAACTGAAAACTTTCTTTTTTTCTTTATATTCCAGAACTATTTAAAAAT